GGGACCCCCGGTGTGGCCGCTGCCTCCCCGCCGCCGCACCGCCGCACCGCCGCCAGCGAGAGCCGACACTGGCCCCGCCGAGAAACCCCGTTATAACACACCCCGGGGACGGGCAGGTTAAAATCAGAGGGGACATAATAGGTAACAACGGACCCGCATAAGACAAGCATCCCCCCGGGTTAAACGAAACTCCCCAGGAAAACCTCCGGGATTACACGGGAAGGTGGGATCGAGCTCTCGGCAAGGAAGACCCCAAATTTAGGCAGCACCGGCTGCCGTGAAGCCAAGAGAAAATCCCGGGGAAATTCTGGGTCGGGATTAGAGGAGGACTCCGTGTCAGCAAAACTCCAAGTCAGTGAAGTTTCGGCTGAACAAAGTTCGTAGAGCCAAATAAAAGTCATGTAATAAAAACGCTGAGAGGTCCGAGTACCAAGAGGTCTCTTCGACGGCCTCGTGATTTTAAAATTAAGCAGAATTCAAACAAAACAAAGCTCTGCCGGCTGATAACAGCCTTTCTTTCGGGTAACATGTTTATAAAAAAATATCTCTGGTCCTAACAGCGAAAGGGAAAGTTCAGGCGTTGCTACTTTAGAAGCAACAAAGGAAAAAAAACTAGCGGCAACTTTCAACAGAAACGCAAAGCTTTGCTTCGTTTTCGTGGGAAAGAACAGCTACAGCGGGAGGAGGCTAATCCTGAGACAAGGATCCGTATTTGTCTGCATTATTGTGAGCACAAGCTTTTTAGCTGCGTAGCTATAAATACACGCAACTTCGGAGCGGACAGAAAAATAAACCGAGCAGGAGAAGGAGCAGTAGGCAAGCAGACAGAAATACAGGTAATTTTTTTTTTCGCTTTACAACGAAAGAAGCGAGGGCCCGATCCCGCTCGCTGTGCAAACCCTGACGTTCTGCCCGATGGCTTCCCCGGTCCGTCCCGGCAGCGCCGAGCCCACCCGCGGCTCCCGTGGGGCTGGGCGTGGGGCACTCGGGGCTTTGGACGACCAAGCGTTCGCAAAACCACCCCTTTCTCCCTATTTTCGTTTGAGACTTTTTTTTTTAAATGACATTTACTTAAGAAAAATAAACTCATTGCCACGAAACGGCAACAATATTTTTCTAAAGCCTCGGAAAGTTTCGGAGCAACAGGCGAGGACGCGGCAGGCGGTGCCGTGACCGGTGCGTGTCTGCGCCCACCCCCGACCCCCGCACGGTC